CCTTCTTTCTTCTTCAATGATATAATAGGTCCCTTTTGTTATTTCAATTCATTTCATGTTATCCGCAAATCGATGGAATGTTTCACAATTGTACGTCAATGTGTAATATGGATTTTTTCTTACATGTTACACATCAAGTTACAATTGTAAAGCATTTCATTTATGTGTTGGAGATATTCCAAGTATTCCACGAAAAAGTTTAGAGAGGAGTTGAAAAATTGTGGGAAACATTTTATCCAATGGACGTTCAATAAACGTATCTCAGATACACAAAGGAAGTGAAGAGTCGCGTATGACATTTCTAATTGGATGAATACCTATCCTGCTGATATATTTGGTATGATTTCAGAGACTTCAAAAGTTTAAGGCCATTTGAAATACTTTAAGTATCTTCAATTTTCTATACATAAACGAACCTGAAAGTAAAGCGTTTTTTTTCAAACTCTGAGCCCTTTTCTATAGTGATTAAGTTATCGTATAGATTTAGCTTGAGGTTACTAAAAGAGCTTAGGAGACCAATTCAAGCATCCAGTTAGATTAATTTGAAGTTGGACAATAACACCACCGGATGCCGGCTCAGTGGTTTAGAGGTTAAGCGTTTGCGCGCGAAACTGATAGGTTCTGGGTTCGAATATCGCGGCGCGGTATCGTGGATGAACACAACTGAGGAGTTCCATGGTGAATCCACATACTCCTTGTGACGGTTATAGTTAGTTCAGTTATACCAAACTATCTTTTGTCGATGATTAAATAAGATATATATACTAAACAAAATGCGAACCATTAATTAAATGAGCAAAGATGGATAATGGCTGTCAGTGAAATCGTGTTTTGGACTCGTCAACTCAATGTACCTGCATCTCAGAGTTAACATTCACTCTGGGACTAAAACCCAGTACCGGTCGCTTCAAATGTTATTGCGTTATCCGTTTAGTTACTGAGTCCTGACAGCCACTTGCTTGTGCAATGAGGTGAAGTTTCAATTCACTTGAATCTTCCTGTAGAGGCTAAGGACTGCAATTGATCAGTCTCTTATTGGCATAAGTAAACCCAGTGCGGATTGTCTCGATATTGCCTTGAGTCACGAGCTTTATAAGCAAAGATGGATAGTGGCTAGCAGTGAATTCTAGGATGCGTGTTTCGTCCTATTAGTTAAATGATGTGTAAATATCATGTAATGATAAACAATAAACAAGTAAATACTCAATTCAATGAACTAATTTTATTTATAGTATGAAAATATATTTGAGACTTCAGAAGAACATGAAAATAAACAAGTACTTTTGGAAAGGTAAAATTTTCCAATATTAATTAATAGTTAAACAAAGCAGCTTCCTAAAAATCAGTATGAAAATATATTAGTATGGAGAATTTGCGGAAATTGTGATATTTTCACACTTGATATCACATACTAATGTTATTTAGACCACTATCGAATACCTGGAGGCAATTGACAGCCGTTTCTCCTAGTATGAGACTTCTCAGCATTGTGCAACCACGAACCCACACACGCGGTAATCGAACCCAGGTCATGTACGGGAGCGTTTAAGTTCTAAGTTCGCATCCAACCGTATTAATACCTATATTCAATCAATTCACAACATTCCGCAACTATCCTCCATGGTCTTCAATGAGTAACTGTTTCACATCCGACACGGATTAGCTTCAACGTCATGGCTTCGTACTAGAACTCCGGGAACTTTCGAAGCTAGTCACTAGTCATCACATGATAATCAGATATATCACTGATCCAATCGTCTCTTGATTAACAAAGAACAAAATTATTTTGATTGAATAAAATATTCTACTTTATCAATTGAAGTTTCAAACAAAACTCGAAATAAAACTACATTCAGAATAAAAGTGTAGGGTGGTAGTCTACCGATTCAGTTTAGTTAAGCAACAGTGTCGTCTTTAACGCTGTGTATAAATTAATATAACGCTATCAAATAATAAGGTTAAGTGATGCTATTCAGTTGTTTAAAAAGAATCCAATACAGTGGAGTTCGAACTGGTAACTTAGTGGCTGAAATTTGAACGCCTAAACCACTACTCAACCATCGATCGAATTATATCTTACTTACTTACGCCTGTTACTCCCAATGGAGCATAGGCCGCTGACCAGCATTCTCCAACCCACTCTGTCCTGGGCCTTCTTTTCTAGTTCCATCCGATTCTTGTTCATTTTTCTCATGTCTATCTCCAGTTCTCGGCGTAATGTGTTCTTTGGTCTTCCTCTTTTCCTTTGACCTTCAGGATTCTATGTGAGGGCTTGTTTTGTTGGGTGCTTTCCTCAATGTGTGTCCTATCCACTTCCAGCGCTTCTTCCTCCGCTGGGATCTGGTTTGTTCTCTCCCACAGTACGTTGTTGCTAATAGTGTTCGGCCAATGGATCTGAAGTATTTTGCGTAGACAATTGTTAATAAACACCTGTATTTTCTGGATGATGGCTTTCATAGGTCTCCAGGTTTCTGCCCCATACAGCAGAACTGTCTTGACATTTGTATTAAAAATCCTGACCTTGGTGTTGGTTGACAGTTGCTTTGAGTTCCAGATGTTTCTCAGTTGTAAATATGCTGCTCTTGCTTTGCCGATCCGCGCCTTCACATCTGCATCAGATCCACCCTGTTCATCAATGATGCTGCCTAAATATGTAAAGGCTTTTACATCTTCCAAATCTTCTCCATCAATTGTGATTGGATTGGTGCATGCCGTGTTGTATCGGAGAATCCTGCTTTTCCCTTTGTGTATATTGAGACCTATTGCTGCTGAGGCTGCTGCCACACTGTTCGTCTTCTCTTGCATCTGTTGTTGCGTTTGGGATAGAAGGGCCAGATCGTCTGCGAAGTCTAGATCATCCAACTGCATCTTAGATGTCCATCGTATCCCGCGCTTCCCTTCAGATGTTGACGTCTTCATGATCCAGTCGATCACCAGGAGAAAGAGAAAGGGTGAGAGTAAACAACCTTGCCTAACACCGGACTTCACTTCGAACGACTTTGTCAACTGTCCTCCATGCACGATTTTGCAGTGTAATCCATCATATGAGTTCTGTATGATATTGACTATCTTCTGAGGCACGCCATAGTGTCGAAGAAGTTTCCATAGTGTTGTTCTGTTCACGCTATCAAACGCCTTTTCCTAGTCAATGAAGTTGATGTAGAGTGATGAATTCCATTCAATTGATTGTTCGATCGAATTATATCACTATCCATTAATCTCGCTACGTATGATTGTAATGAATAAGCTAACTGAATATTTAATCAATGTTACCGATTTTAAACAGTAAATATCTTGTAGAGAATGAATAATTAATTTCCAATTATTAATTGTTTTTCTATTACTAGCCCATACCTTTTAAATAATCACTAAGTTACTTAAATGGTAAATGATTCATTTGTATTTCATTGTTAATTTTACTAAGATTTAATTGAATAATCTTTTTTTTTTAATGTTATAATAAGCCACATAGAATACTGACAAAAAGTCTATAGTAACTAGTCGTAACCTAATTAATATGCATACAACCATGGTTACAATGAAAAATAGAAAAAAATACTGGACAAACTTGAAGAGAAAAAAGAAAGAAAGAAAGAGAAATACCATCTTCCTTGTTCTGTGAACATCTAGTTAAAAGTTTTATTTTAGAAGTCATAAATTTACACTAATTAACTACTCACTGTATATTAGCTAATATCATATTGAATTAATCTTTAATCATTAACAAAACGGATTGAACTACTACAAGAAATGGTTATCGCGACTTCAACACTTCAATAGGTGATTTAAATCCCACAATAAATATCAGTTACCCGAATATTGTAGATATATCTACCTGAAAAACTGCAACTAGAATAAAACCTCAGTTTAGGTTATCCTGTTCATCATTTATAATCAGTCCCACCGACAGACACTATTCAAAGTATAATCAATCCGTAGGTATAGTCAATATTGAGGTATCAGTTTAAGAATACATATAGGTCAACAGAAATTGATCAATTAAATGATGTGGTTCTAAATATCACAAACAGTGATAAGTACAAACGTCCACAATTGTAGCCGACTTTGTAAAACTGTCAATTATTGACTATTCGTAAAATATATATGTATATGAAAAATAAACAAAATGAAGACTATGCAACCCAATCACTATCACCAAAATAAGTCAAGAAAAATAGAGAAGTAGAGATAAATTACTATTTTTTACAGCTAACTGGTCATTGAATAGTGACTAATGTCATATTCTTTTAGAGTTGACTGAGTTCAATCGATCATTTTAGAATATGACCAATAGTTTGAAATGTTTCGACATCTCCTGCACTATACTGTGATACCAGATAGTTACAGGAAATAGATAGGAAACCTATTCAGTGATCAATTTATCAAAAACTTATTCAATCATGTTAAACTCAAGTTGACTACTCAACGAATAAACTGTAAGTAAACAATTCAATGGCACTAAATCTTTTCACAATTCTATTTATCATAAAAAATCGAAATGTTCAGTACACGAATTGTACGTGATTAGCTTGATGTAAACGAAAGAAAAATAAGACAAATCACATTAATCTCCTATACAAAATCATAAGACAAGTTTGTTTTTTTTTTAATCCCATCAAATTGAATTATTGTTCTAGGTCAGTTTTTCAAATTATATGAAACAATAAAAATAATAAACTATGTTCAATGATCAATCTTTATTTAGAGAATGTTCAGTATTGGAATTTGTTTGTTTATTTTGACATTATTAAAATAACAAGAAAAATATATAAATAATGTCATGGACAAAAGTTATAAAAATAAACAGTAATAAGGTTATTCGAAAGAATAAAAATTAGTTCACTGTGAAACACTTAAATATTATTGTCTATACACAGTTACATTACTGATATTCTTCACGTGTCTTCTAGTGCTCACTTCAGAGAAAGCGAACGGGGGAAAATGTGGGAAACAAAAAGAAAAAAAAATGGCTGACAAACTGACAATTAAAAGAAAAAAATTTAGTTTTTTGAAAAATGGTTCATGATTTTTTGAATAATATCTGATTTTTTACTGGCTGATATTTTGAGACCAAGTGATTTGATTGTTTCACGTAATACAGGTATTGTATATTTGTGTAGACTATCTGATTGAACAGCTTCTTTACATTCTATCTCAGATAAACAACATTTTGCTTCTTGATTACAAGTGGATTGTGTAAGACGAGGTTTCTGTGTTTGTAGGAGAAAATAAAATAAATACGATCAATGATATTAGTAACAAGTAACTGTAAACTTAATACAACTTAGTAAGTAAGTTCATGTAGAGACAATCGGCTTTCAGTTGAATTTGCTATGTAAGAATAAGAGATATTACCTTGGTTTCTCATAACTAAGTAAACGGAGACGGGTTTAAATATGTGACTGAGAATGTTAATAGACTATTATTGGATCAATTCTATACGATACATACAAAAATGGTGGTTCGAAGCCCGAAAACAGCAACATTTTTACAAACAATACAAATAAACCTTGCATACATCCTAAACAACACATGGATTATAATAGTGATGGCCTTAAATCATATAGTCATCAAATAGAGTATAGCGTATTATCAAAACTGGTTACCAACTAGTACCCCGTAAAGAAATCTAAATAGTTCAGATAGAAATTAAAAATACTTTTATTGCGCCGTACATAAACGGCGCTATGCATTTAACAATTGATATACCATAAATATATTTCACAGAAACATAGCTACTACAATAAATACCTAATTTGATAGTTTTGGTCAATTAACTCATTTGCAAACACTGTATATTGTGAATTACCGCAAAATGATTGGCGTTGAAATTATACCATTAGATGCCAAATCAGTAATTCAAATAGTTGTGGGTTCACCGTTAGACTTGAAAGTTTTGCATTTAACCACTGGAGAGTCATACTACAACAAAACAGCTCAAAAATGTTCCTTAGTTTCCAACAAATTTATACTATCCTCACACTAACTAAGATTCAAGAATGAATTTGATCTTCTTCACAAACTAATGTTTGTTAATAGATCAACAATAAATGAGATCTTATGAATTCACTTAACTGGCTTGGTATTTTAAATAAAAGAACAAATCGGTTACACGTTTATAATAACAAATTATTAACGTATAGTGAATGTTATGTAACTGGAATTAAATATGAATAATAGCTAATTTGTATATTGATGATTTTCTCACATATTTCAATATTCTAATTAAGTGATGACATAATTTACTGATCTCTTGTAGAATAATTTATGAATATGTATCCTACTGACCAAAAACGGTCAATTACCTCGAAATGTGTTAATTAATTATGGAGAGATGTCTTAATTCGGTACTTAACAAGACTGTTAAATAACTATGGTTTACGGTGGCGCGACTTCGTGGATTGGTTGAGGTTCGACATTAGCCACGTTGGATGCTGGCTCAGTGGTCTAATGGTTAGGCGCATTCGCGCGCGAGACTGGTAGATCCTGGGTTCGGATCTCGCGGGGAGCGGGATCGTGGATGCGCACTGCTGAGTACCATACTAGGACGGAACGACCGTCCAGTGCTTCCGGGTTTTCCATGGTGGTTTAGCTTCAATTGACTTATGATTCAAACTATTGAAATTTCTATTTAAAAAACCTCCATAAAACCCCTTCTAATAACTATAAAATAAATAATAATCTTTCCAATAAAGTTTTCTTATAAGTATCGTTATTAAGATTTGATTTGATAATTTCGAATAAATTGAGCATTGGGTAGATTGTTATAAATATTTAAAAAATATTTGTAATATCCCATGAGTAGAAAAATCAGATTTTCTGACGTTTCGTGACTTAGTGTAAGTCACTTCTTCAGAGAATAAATAACCAAATTAAAATTGTTCTGTTAAATGTTTCCTTATGTTGACAAATAACAGTGTATGATTGAAGATTAGTTTTAGCGAAATGCATAAAAACAGTGTAAGTGATTAAATAAATAATTAAATTTTGAGGTTTAATAAAACATTCTAGGACTGTCGAAACGTCATTAAGTAGGACAGGACTCAAATTCATATACCTCCACGTTGACTGGCTAACCAAAAGATATGTTTCTAGATTAATATAACCAAGGTAACTCCTTACAAAACACTTAGTCGTATAAACAGCTATCAAGTTACACATTTACATACAACTAGTAATATTATTCGCTGTTTAAACCTGCCTGGTCGGTGGCCTATCCCTTATGAGGAGTAAGAAGTAAGTAAGTAAGCCCAAGCTGTAATCCACTAAGTGGAAAGTTAAGTCCTTTAAGTTATACGAAGTCAGTGTTTTAAAATTAATGAAACTAAATGCAAATTAAAGGCTTAATGATTTGAATGTGATATTCTTCATGAATCGACTTCATTTAAAGTGTCATTGAAAACCGGGGAGTACTGGAAAGTTGTTTTGTCCTAGTATGGAACACTTTTTATCAGTAACCAATCCATAACTCCATACCATAAATGGAATCCACGATATTCAGGTCTCACAGAGAACGCTTGATCCTTAAAATCACTGAACTGATTAATAATTCAAGTGATATATAATCCCAACTTTGATCAATTTTAATTCTTATTGACTCACAAATGCATTACTACTGAATGCCAAATATAGATTTTTTCTTTACACTTTACTTTACTCACTTTGAATATATTCTCGTTATTTAAATTGAAACATTCTTTGAATGCTGCAATTTCTTCACTGGCTCTTCTTTTGATAGCTCCAAATTTAGGTACTAAAATGATGATTTTTTTTCGTCAAACAAACAAAAAATCGACTTTTAATGTTTTTATCACCAACAAAAAAATAGAAGAGAAACAACATCGAAATGTTAAAACTGATTCACAAGAAAACAGGAGAAAAAGAGTAAAAGTAAAATAAAGTGATTTATCGAATTTCCTGTTTTTCATAGTTAACATCACAGAATATTAATGGTTAAACAACTATTGAAAAATAAGTATATATGTGAGCAAATTGTTCAGGATGTTTGGTGCAAATACATCACATTTTTCACATTAACTCTTTCTCATCGTTCTATCGAAATTTATAAAAGAGACTAATTGAAAGTATTGAACAGTTGTTTTGTTCTTGCATAAGACTTCTTAGTAATGTACATCCACAACCGCGTCAACAGGGATTAAATCTAGGACCTCTGGTCATGACCGCCAAATAACTGAAGCAGTATCTAATTTCATAAATTTGTAATATTAGTACCCTCCCCTCTAGCAAATAATTATGTGCTAAACAGTGACTAATTTTGAAATTTTGATGAGAATCTATACCCAGTGATGTTTCACCATGTCGATTGTGGGCCAGTTACCCATCAAGTATATTGGAAAATGATTGCTTGATACTATGAATCGAGGCAATTAACAGTATGAGTTTGTGAAGATTGTTGAGTTTCAATCAAATCATCGACCGGTCAATGTTAGGCCATCACTGAAAACCTGCAAACACTGGATGTCCATTTGTTTGACTAAAGTTAGAGACTAACACCGTTGGATTCCAGTTCAGTGTTCTACAGGTCAAGTGTTACTGCGCGAAACCGAAGATCCTGAACTCCATTCCCGTGTGTAGGGTAGTGAATGCTCACTGCCGGAAAGTCATTTAGTGACCCTATATCTGACTCCAAATAAATCACATGATGACCGTTATCGAGATATGCATGCCGCCAACCTTCATATAGATTTTATCGACTTAATTTGCGTTAGAGAATAACGGGATAAAATAAGCCAAATACAAGAAGAAATTTTGAATACACATATTTCATACACTCATTGATCCAGACAGACATTGTGAGAAACGAAGTGAAGGAAGCAAAACAAAACGAAGTGACGTGCAGTGGAGAAGACGAGTAAGTGAACTCGACTTAATCAAGCGTGACTTGATATTTATAATCAAGCAAAAATAAGTTATAGATATGTGATGAATAGGGTAAGCAATTAACACACGTATGATCATATAAAAACAGTCAGGGCTAATAAGCAAATAACCTACAAGGTCAAAATGTGGCTTGAGATGAATGAATAAATTATCTGTCCAGAAGCTAGAATAATTTATGTGGGCTTGACATAGTAACAGCCACTACGGTCCCATACTGCGTCTAGATTATTCAGGTTTTCAATGATGTCCTAACAATGGTCGGTTCATGATTTCAATGAAACTAATGCGATTGAGAGATCCAAATCGTTAGAACCCAACTCAGTGATCTAGGAGTTGAGAATTCGCATGAGATCAGAAGTCAAAGGTTTAATCCCTGGTGCGACGACCGTGTATCTGCACTGCTGTGGAACCCCATATCAGGACGACACAAACTCCCAATCTCCCAGGTTTTCAATAGTTGTATAACATTTGGCGTCGCTTCCAAAGGGGGACAGGGGATACTATTGAGGGGCCGGGAGAGAAGGCGCTGGTTGGAGCAGTCTGGTGCTAGGTGACGTCGAGTAGAGTGTTCTAACGGGGCGGTGTTGGCTTTAGCAATCGCTGTCGATGGAGGAGAGTAGTGGGACGTGTGGCTGCTGGGCAGACATCGTATGTAGATGGCTCGGCAGGTTGCAATATTTACAGTTGATTGACCACTGAGTAGTGAGCAATGTCAAACTTGTGTAGTCTTTAACGGCTGTTAGTGTTGAACAATGTAAAACAACAAAAACTTTCAATAACCTACATGTATGATCAACAACTTCCGATTGAGTTTCACGATTAAGAGCTAATGCTTCAAGAAGTGAATAAAACCGTTGTAATGTTGGATTTTCAATTTGTCCAGGAGTAAATGGTACCATAAGTTTGCGTACCATGGCCTTAGCAATATCCACTTGAGATTCGTTAGCTAAAAAAATTATTAAGAAAAATCCCAGAGTAGTTAAACTGTCACCACTATCAATCGTAATAGAACACATTAGATATGAAATTACGATTGAAGAAGAATAAATGAATTTGAAGGATAGAACGTATAAGATGATTTTCATACTCAAGATCTAGGTGATCGAGGTACTGATCCCTCAATGATGTGTCTGCCAATAAAGATAATGCCTTGATTCACACAACTTAGCTGTTGATTGACTATAAAATTTAAATCCAGATAAATTATTATGGAACGGTGTATCTTGGTACATTTTTCTTCGAATTAAAATATAGTTCTTTTTCACTGCTCAGATTCTACAGTCTGTGATTTCTTGTAGAATTTTTTAGATCCAATCAAACAACACAGTCTTGGAAATGTTCCCCTGAAAAAATACCACGAAAGCAGTACTACAAAATCTGTGTCAGCAGAGAAGGGTCTAGACCTAAGACGTACCGGCTGAAAACCTTTTTCCTATAACTAGTACATAAGTCTGAAATTAACTTAGTGAATTGCACTATTTATCATTAATTAATCAGTTATGGAAAATGAACCGAATTTAGAATTCTATAATTAAAACAAATAATAATGATAATAATCGTACCTATTTCATTCGTTGGAATTTCAATATCACGAAAATCATCAGCGTAAGGTAAAAATATAATATGAAATCCGGGTGGTATTGTTTGAGTTCTATTAGCACCGTCACCGTCATCATCATCATCATCGTTTATCTGTTCGGCCTAGATAAATAAAGTGGACAGGAATCATTTAATATGTCAGTTGAATATTATGTATGAAATTTATCTTGGCCCGATATAAACTGGAGAAAAAGTGACAACCAAAAAGCACTAAATAGTTGTTTAGGAATTCACCAACAGTGTCTAATGACAATGCTCCTTCTCTCAAGTGGGAACGGAACTAGAAACTTCAAACTTTATACCTTAATATCACTTAGACAAGATACAATAGCAGATATCTGGTGTCTCTTGTACCAATGTTTATGTATTAAAATAAATAAACAGATAACCAAAGTAGTTTTAATGAATCCGAAACCCAAATGATCACACACATTTTATGAATAAAAACGTTTGGTAAATATATTTTTTTCACATAATCATTAAAAAGGATTGGAAAGAGGAATAATATACGCATGTTCGTATGATTTTTAAGAACAAGTTCCCAAGTTCATACATTATTTACTACTGTTAACTTTAGTTTAAGAGTCTCTTCGATCCATGTAAATTAATTAGGACTTTCATATGAAGTACCTGTAGGTATTGCATGTGCTTTATACCTTCTATGTGCAAAGTACTTTTAAAAGACTGGTAGGACCCTGCGTCTGAACTGACCCTTGGTAATGAATAGGTAGAAGTAGTCAAGAAATTCGTATACTTAGGTAGTTGTATAGCTCATGGAGGTAATGTGAGTGATGTGATCAATTCACTTATGTTGAAAGTAAGATAGGCTTATGCCAACCTGTGTAATCTTTGGCATATTAATAATGTTAATCTGTTTGACTGCAATGTCAAATCATTTAGACCTTGAAACTTATTGGTTATTAGAATTCGATTGATACTAAAGGATTAGACACACATCACATTAAGCATAGAACAAACAAAAATTACATTGCTACATCTATATTCCAATATTGAAACAAAAAGCCGACAATTTGAATAGTTTCTTTGAACTAAGAATGTAAACTATTTTGTTTTTACGACGAAAAAAAGATTTAACTTTAGATAGAACTTATCATAAATTATAGGAAATAGGCTGAAAACACAATCGAATCCTGAGTCGCCACTAATGTATGCGACCCCGAAAATCCTTTTAATGTTTCGTTTTCGGGTTTTGATTTCATATAGCCTAACAAACAGTGGATGAAAGTGAAGACCAAGTAACGTTCTTAATGCGTCATATTGATTGCCATGTGAAATATTGGGCTTATACTTCTGGGGAATTCAAAAGAGCACAAAAAATAGCTGACTAGTACTTTCCAGCTTTTGATACCTCATCAGTTGAAACTAGTCCATTATGACAACAGTCTCCTACCTTAACAAGTAATTATGGTATAGGCATACAATAAACTTTACATTTCTTTGGAACAAGTAGATAAACAACAATATAAATCAAAAACTAAAACCGAATAGAATACCTGAGGAAGTAGTGCAACAAGACGAGGAAATTGACCTTTACGTTGAACATATATAGCTATGGCTAATAATTTTCGATGTAAACATCGATTTAATAAAGCGGTAAACCATAAACGACTCCCATGAATTGATTTTTCATCAGGATAAATAAAATGTGCTGGACGAATGTAATAATATCGTTTTAAAAATTTCTGTGATATAAAACCTAATAGGTGTAAACCTAAAAGAAATGAAAATACGAGATGAATAGAAAGAAAATTATTTATAGTTGAAACCTACTTTGCTAGAATAGTGGTTTGACAGTTAAAAAGCACACTAGACATTCATAACCACTGAGTTAATTGACTGAAATCAGGTTTCATCAATTTCACTTTAGGCAACTGGATTGTGAAACTGAATGACTCGAGTTCGAATCTCGTATGGGTCACCATTTCTCTTCCAGATTACAAGCGCAGATAGCTTTTAGTATAGAAACTAGTATCTCTACTTTTTACTATGTAATTATTAAGTGACTGGTATTGTAGTGAACAAGAACACCAGTGAGGACAATCGAATGTATTTAACACAAAATTACAGGACTTGTTAATGAAATCTAACAATCATAAAGTAAATGCTTAATTTGCAAAATGTCCATCAATTGTCTCAAAATGACTCAGAATTCATTGCTCTTGCATTTTCATACTAATTGCATTCTGTTTCCATTCTTTACTATTCGATGCTCTAGTCTCTGCTGCCAGACTTTCTGTTCACGACTGACATAATATACTACTTATGTCAATATAAGTAGCATACACCACAGTATATGGAATGCATATATTGTCTTAATTATAAGCTTTTAATCAACGTATTAACTTTTGATACATGCCTTATCGTTAATTAATTATGCGCACACTGTCCAGTTTTTGTATCATACATGACTCCAAGTTATGTAAAAAATTATTTGAAGTGGATTGAGATCATGTAATTGATGTACATAATCCTATAAGTTTTTAAAGTTGTATAAATGGTAAGCATATAGACTTGTTGTCTTAGTCTTCTGACTAGTTATATGAGGTAAAAAGGAATTGAGTTTAGTCAAAAGGAATCAGGGTATTCAGTCGTTGTGTGTTCTCGGTTGTTATTGGTTAAAAAGGTCATTGGTCTAATTAAAGAAACTTGGTCAACAGCTTGACCCACATAGCCAAAATTATCTGTTGAAGAGGAATCAAGATTTATTTGTGATTTATTAAGTGAATGCGGATACCTATCAAAACTTCTGAAGAAATATAAGTCTAAAACTAAGTTTGAAATAAAATTACCGACGGTACCAAAAAAGCCTTTACTCATAAAATTGCATTACAAAGGTTATAATGCCAGCAAAATAATAATTCGATGTATAAGAAAAGACGTCAAAAATACACTTAATGCAGCAAGATTATGCTCATTTTTCTTTAACCGGCGAATAGTGAACTCACAAAATAAAGATAAATTGCCTAGTTCCCCCAACTCTATGTGCAACTACCATTTCAACTGCTGTTGCGGAGGCAATTATATTGGCCAAAATACATCATCGGATTTCTGAATACCACTACTCAAGACTGACCAAGAATGATAAAAAAATAATAAAAAGCTTCAGTTTAGGACATTCGATTGATACCAGTCATTATGTCGATTTCAAAACAACTTTTAAAATTTTCTATAGAATTCCCTAGCATTTTTCGTATGCTTACAGAATTAGGCTTTAACCGGGTTGGTGGATATAGAGGATCCACATGCGACAGTCAGAAATCCCTGACTCCAAACCAATGGTGCATGTGGGTTTCAGAGTCTTGAGTGGACAAATAGCGTACGGACCTATTATTGGTGACCGGCTACCATGAGACCACATCTCCTAACAGTGTTCCATTGTCTTGTAGTTTAGACCTCTGGGACAAAGGTTCGAGGAGTGGTCTACTAATCAAACCACCTACTTTGGTTTGGGCACCTGGGCAGCATTCTAGCCCATAGACAGATTCAATAGTCTATGTGGTGCATATATATTTTAATGTCCCACGATACCAATATTTATGTGTTTATATAAATAAATGAATCTCAGTTATTCCTGATTAATTTCCCAACATCTTGACAATTCCATTTCTAATCTACGATTAAGAGTAATACACATTTGTACATCTGTGTATCTTTGAATTCTTTTTACCATGTCCTACAAGTCATTAATAAACGTGGCATAAACTGAATGAAACAGTCGAGAATAAATTTTTTTTTAAAAAACAAAACAACTCTTTTCCCTGAACCCTTCTATATCTCACATACACACATATTTTCTTGTTTTACGTCTCTATGAGCGTTTTCCGGTTACATAAATTAGAACATTGAAACTTAATCATATCTGTCAGTTAAACAATAATAATAATACTCCTCTATAAACACTTTCAATATTTTACTTTATCCTTGTCAAAGACTATTTTTAAAGTTCAATAATGACTATCAAAAACATAGTTCAGTTGTTATAAAGTTACAATCTATATATGATAGAATTTAATTGGATTAAACTATAAATTGTTTAAATCATATCCCATTTCTATTCCATTCTAAAATTGAATATTACCCTCTATTTGTGAATAATAAGAATAAACTGACAATTGAATGAAAACAAAATGTTGTTGTTTTGTTTTGTCATATATACCCACTCTTAAATATGAATATAGACGTTCCTAAGAAGAGTAATTCATGTTAATGGAACATTCCTATCAGAACAATGAAAATTTTATTATAAGCAAAGGTGGATATTGGCTAGCAGTGGAATCCAGGACGCGCGTTTCGTCCTGTTTGGGACTCGTCAGCTGGACGTACCTGCATCTCAGAGTTGATGTTCACTCTGGGACTCGAACTCAGTACCGTTCGCTTCAAACGCCATCGCGTTATCCACTTAGCTACTGAGTCCTGATAGCCACTTGCGTCCTGGATTCCACTGCTAGCCACTATCCATATTTGTTTATAATGCTTGTAAATTAAGGCAATATCGAGGCATACGCACAGTATGCACATATGCCAATAAGAGACTGATCAATTTCAGTCCTAAAACATCAATGGGAAGATTCAAGTAAAACAATATCAAGTGAACGAAAATGTCAGTTGAAAAAGAGGGGATTTAAGAAAGTACTCCGGTAAGTGAGTTTTAAAAAAAGGATCGACTCCTTAGTAAATTAGAAAATTCAGAAGATAACAAGTGAGGAGTCATGAAAGAAACATTTGATATCTAACGACTAGTTTTGTGTTTTATTAAACTCTATGACATGAAATATGAAGTTCATTGTAGTTTTTACAATGAAATGATCATATTGAAAAAAATTTACATGTATAAACCTTTTTACATTATTAATAACTCATTTACACGGCACGAATTTGTGTACATGGGTATGAGCCGCACTCTGAGTGTGAAAGCTAATGAAGCTATTTGGTAGGCTAAACTGAAATAGGGTGACAGAGATTTGAACTGGCAACTTAGTGATAGAAGTCAAAAACCTTAAACACCATCGACTCATCGTGATATGGCAAACCACATCCTCAACAGATTAAATCTGGATAAAGAACACCCTAACTCGAACTTGCAACTAGATTACTTAGTTGATACAGTCAGTCTGGGATGACAAGATCAGCGCAGAAGAAGTAATAGCCAGACCCCAAGAAGATCATCAAGAAAACGACATTTTCTTCAGCGCCTTCAGTTGAATCCAAGGAGCAAGACTTATTTTCCAGGGGGGAAAGACGATGTGTCAAGCCAATGAGAAGTAGCCTAATGAGATGGTCAGTCGATGGCTAAACGCGTAGCACATCGTGTATCAGTACTCGATTTCGGACACTGCCCGTCACACTACACCGCTCTACTTAACTCCTTTTAATAAACTATGAATCATAATCGAAACACTGAAATGGACATTGATTATTATCAATGTTATTATGTATATTATTATGTATAAACATACACCCCACGGGTTTAATTAAGTGCTTAGAGTGAGAAGTAAACCTAATAATATGATTGCATTACTAACTAATAAATGGAAGTGGGATTTAAAAGGAATTCTCAAATTATTACAATGATTTTGCGTAAAGCAAAAGCATCAGTGACCCAAAACAACATCCTAAATGTAATTGTCGTGAGGTTAACATCAAGGTCAAACGAAATAACATGAAATGAATGATCATTAATCGGCGAATACAATAATTTGGTTTTTCAATATGTTAAAATAGCTGACCGGAACTAACCAGATGATCTTAAAGCTAATGTACAATACAAAATGATCTAGATGAAATAAACTATTGTAAAACAAGGAGGATTGGATAACAGTTTCGTCATAGGATAAGACTCCTTCTCAGTGGTGCACACACACATAAAGTCCAAAAAGATATCGGAATCAGGATTTCTAAGATTCGCGACAAGCTCATTACAATTTAGACGACTGAAATGCGAACCAACAGTTTATATTCCCAGTTTCAGCCAATTTATGATATCGTACAACGGTCATTCAATAACACCGGTGATATATGTTTCACAACCAACATAGTTGAACTCCAAAGACCTTAAATTCATACTATAAATTAGGGAATTATTCCCGTAGTTAATCACTAACACAAACATATTATCACCACTATTAGTATTGGAAGCTTGTGTAAATTATTTAGGCTTAAAATAATTTACCCCCAACACTTAAGTCTAAAGGTAATGCGCTGCCTTTGATATCTGAAAGTTCTAAGTCCGACAAGTGTTTAGGCTGCAAGTGTCCACTTTCGATGAGCCCCTCACAATCACTAACATTAAGTAGTTTTTGATTTACAACAGTTGTCCAAAGTTAAAATCTGTTAATGATGTAAACTGTCTTCAAAATGAACAATCTGCATAAACTTATCATTTTTAACGATTAGACCGTTATTATTCTTATTTTTACAATCCTGGCATTGAAAATTAAGTAAAAGGAAAGAAATTGACCATTGATATGTATGTGGTGTGGCTCAATATAACCAAAAGCATTGGATAATGACAATCGAATAGTCTGAATGACTGGAAATAATTAATGTGTTTGAGAAAGAAAGATTGATAACAAAATTTTCATTGGTCATATTAATAATAAACAAATACAACAAACAGGAGTCAGTGTCTGTTCTTAATATCTGGAAAATATGAGGTGTATAAAAGAAGACTGAAACTAATAAAAACTATACTTGTAAATTAAATTCATAACACATTGATCTCATTGAGCGTATCACTGGAATCCAGAAAGCATTGGACAGCTATTTCGTCCTACTATGAGGTTTCTCGACAATGTACGCACACAATCCAATTAGAAATCGAACCCAGGACTGTCAGATCTTTCAACGAAAACGCAACCAGTAGAATTACTGAGTAGGTGCTCAATCGTACACATTTTCAACTTCAATAAATTTACGAAATAACGTTACGGTTATCTAATGCCATTGGTGACAACTATTTCATGCCCAATATACTTGGACTGCACCAGTCACAGATGAACACGACAACATGAAAAATATCATAGAGTAAGTTACTACTACGAGCTAACTATCATAGTTTATCAGTATAGGGTTGTGAAGACAGTTGAGTTTCATTGAAATAATGAACCGATCTAACTTAAACCACCATTGAAAACCTGGAAGCACTGAACGGCTGTTTCGTTTCAGTACATGACTTAGCAGTGCACATCCACGACCCTGCAAGCGGAAACCAAACTCAGAACCTTTAGTGCTTCAAGGTTTTGAATATTACCTAAATTAATAACAATTCACGACGAATACAATCTACGAATTGAAAAAAACTTAAAAAAACACATTCGAAAACATTAATATCTCCAAAATAAATTATCAGATTGACAAGAGTATAAACAATAAGATGAATATTGTAATGAACGAGAATACAAGTGGAGACAATCGAATGTATTTCAACACAAAATCACAGAACATTTTAGTAAAATCTGAGAATCACACAGTAAATACTCAATTTGCAAAATGTCAATCAATTGTCTCAGACTTCATTGTTCCTTCATTTCCACAAAAGTCATTCACTGTTCTCGTTCTCTTTTCTTCCATCTTCTTAACCTTCTGCCTCCAGGCATTTCCCTTCGATTGATGACACATACTACTTATATCTGTCGACATCAGTAGCACACACTACAGTACTGTGTTTATACACTAATGTAGGTTATAAGGACAATTGCATACAAATTAAATAGTAATAATAATAAACTGTATGAAACAATACTTACCGACAGGAGCAATATTACGCACAGCTTCAGTTAATTCATCTTTATCAAAGCATATATAACGACCATCAAGTTTTATGCCACGTACTAAATCATGGGATGGTAATAAATCTTTAACTGGATCAAAAGATCCATATGGATCTATAATTTTATAATAATCTCTATGAACACGTACAGTTTTATTATCTGAAGATGAAAGCCATATTGGAGAGGGGATACGTGTTGGATAAACTAAACAATATACTGAAACACCTAAAGTGAGATTTTTCGATGATCCAAGATGAAAAGGTAAACGAGCTAAGCGTGATCGACGTAATTCATGTGAGTTCATACTAGAATAGACAAAATGGGAAGAAAAATTAATGAAATGAGTAGAATACTTTTAGAATAACTCATTCAAAAGGGGATCATTTCATAGATATAAAAAAACGTTATTGCATAAAATGTTTTATGGAATGTTCTAGATTGTTATGTGCATTTATATATTTTACAAATAAAACGAAATTACTAAAATGTAAATAAATCGAGAAAAATTCCGAAATTTAACCACACAAATAGGTAGATCTTGTTGATTTTGTTTGTTCAGAAATAACTGATTTCCATATGGAAATTCATGAATAGTGAAGTTTAATTATTTAGAAATGTAGATAGATATCAATGATGAAACTAACTGTAATATCGTGCTACATTATGAACTGACTAAATTCAGGAAATGAAACCACCTGATTCCAATTCATACCTAGAATCGAAAGTTTAAAAAAACGATTATTTTTTTCAGGGTTTTGACTTTTTATCAATAACAAGTATCAAATACTTGAATGGAACAATTATCCAATACTCTAGCTTTTAATGGTTTTCTAAATGACGGAAATAAATGATGAAGTCTTTCATCAAACTAAACTAATATCCGGAAACTAAATAAATAATCAACCAAAATCTTAGGATACTTGGTATGTGGTTTGAAGTGGAGTCCAAGAGGAGCATTTCTTCTTATTTACAACTAGTCAGATGGATGTATCTGCATCTTAGTATTGATGTTCATATTGGTGCTCGGACCCAGTACATTTCATTTAGAATGCGTAACAACGCGTTATCCACTGAGTTACTAAATCCAAATAGTCAGAAAATAGCCCGACAGCTATGAAGATATTAATAAGGGTTTATATTTTCCCGTTGATATGTCTTGTCGATTTTTTTCCAAAATCCCCGTCGCCAATTGTTATGTTTTGTTGTTTGAATGCTTACTGTCTTGACTTTTTTTATCCCATCCCCGTCGCCACTGATATTTCTTGTCAATTTTTTCTAAAATCCCATCCCTCGTCAGTTGAATGCTATTTGTTTTATATGGTCGTCGCTGATTGTTATGTCGGAAACTCTTATCACTTATACTCGAAACGAGGGACCTCTGCAATTCTCACGATGCGAAAGTAAAAACACAAAGACTGGTATAAGTGGAGAATTATTGACCGCAAAACACGGAGACGACGACGATCATAGTCAAAAATAAACTCGTCCATATATTGATTGTACACCCATTTTTTATTAATAATTAGGATTAGATCACATATACGAAAAATACTTAGTTATAACAAACCACAGACTGAGTATAGTTCATGTCAATCGAATACAAGAATATCGCATATTATACAGAATAAAATATCACACGAGGAAAGAAAACAAACACTACATTGAGTAATCAGTACATTGAATCAGAACGGAAGTAACCTTGAACTAAACTCATAATGAGTAAATCAACTGAATTTTGACTTTCCATCATATCACCCGTAGTTAATGTTAAGGACTGCAATTAATCAGTCTCTATTGCTATATATATATATATATATATATATATATATATATATATATATCCTAACCGGATCGACTTGATATTGCTAATAGTTATTTCGAGGTTAAAATAGACACCACTAACTGAACAATCACTAGATATTTAAAAGTACTAAACAGACATTGATCTCGATTAAAAATCTTCTAGTCATTACTTCATTCAATGAAAATGAATGTTCAAATTTTTTGTAAGCATGCTGTCCTGTCCACCATTTGCTATCAATCCGATAATCAATGCTTACTAGTACTCATGAGTCTGAAGAACAGAAACTGATCTTCGTCAAAACGTTGTATAAATTATAAGGATATAATACCACTTTTCAGTAATTAAGTGTGTACTTCAATCTTAAGCTATAATTCTGAAGTGATAGCAATTTACTGTTCAAGTACTAATTAGTAAAGTAGTATTTTTGAACCAAATCGTTAAAAAAAGAGTGGGGTGTTTATAATTACTGAACTATTATTTCACTCCATCGTCAATAATTTATTTACTACTGTGGTGTGCACTACTTATGCGGATAGACTTAAGTAGTATGTAGCAGGAATTGAAAGTGGGATGCTTACCAAAAGAAGGTTGAAATAAAGAGAAGTGGAAGGGAACAGAAAGCAATCGGAATAACAACAGAACTAGAAAAAATGATGGAGTATGTAAAGGACATCTCAAGGAAGACATGTAGATGATGTATTTAGTGTATGATTTTCATATTCTATAAAAGCACTGTGCAATTTTGCATGAAATGATAAATTGGCTTTTCCCATCAAGTCTTTTTTCCCTACACTGCTAGATTACACTTTTTTTACAGGTTCAAATTTACGAAACCTTTTTAAAATCTAACCTATAATAAAGTACTTATATTGATTACTGATGGCATTATTTATGTTAGTGGTCCTAGTGACTGAATACCAAATCACAAACTCATAATAGTTGAAAAATAATTAAAGACACCTCGGATAACTGTTTCGATATTGAAAATTATTGAAATCTTGTATAATCAGATTCAATGGTGATCATTCCCTCCCTAACAAAAAAAAACAAGCAATGATAATTCGTGAATAAATCTACACAGATTTTATAATTCCAATCAGTATTAAACTGAAATATAATAAACAAATGTTTCTATTACCTCTTCCAATACATTTGTTAAAAGAACACTTAGACAAATCAATAATACAGTCATTGAAAGTATCGAAATATCAAATTACCGGCTTAATAATTCATCAAGACGTTCAGTTGGATCAGGATGATAAGAAGATTTGTCTAGATCAGGATACATTAATTCATCTTCTAGTAACTCCTAATAAAAAAGAATACATGGAAAAACTTAATCAATTCATCAATTATATCCGAATATATTTAGGTACGAAGTTGAAATTTATTATTAAATCTACTTATTAAGAGAAAGAATATGAAATCAATCACAGTTATGTTGGGGAATAAATAAAACAAGGATTAAACAATTAAATGTAAAACTGAATATCAAATGATCAATCTGATGAAGTAAAACATTAAGAATTAAACATAAGAGAATCAACAACTTTATGAATAGAATATGTTGAATAGAAAATTATATATGGTGGTGATTGAGGGTGGACAGTAGAAAACCCTGAACTTCGGTTCTGTGCTTTTTGACACTCATTAGCAAGGTATACTTGTAATAACAGGTGTTCTTTTGAGGAGTTGGTCCCCTGTCATCCAGCTTCACAGTCAGATAAGTTACAAATGATGTGTCTTTTTTTATTATTTCAACACATAGATAATGGTACAAGGAGGCACCAAATACATGTGCGCCACACAAATCTCATTCGATATATGTGAGGGCTGTGATACTACCCGGGTGCCCAGACCGAAGCAGGTGGTTTTCTTAGGGGGCCAGACCTTGAGCCTTTGACCTAATGGTCTGATCCACAAGGCAGTGGAGCATCGTAAGGAGATGCAGTCCCATGGAAGCCGGTGACCAACAATTGGTTCATGCGCCATTTGTCCCGGCAGGATACTGGAGCCTATGTGCACCATTGGTTTTGAATCCGGTTAAAGCGCCGGACATTCGCTTTTCGTCCTCTCATTTTCGTAAACAACACCCGTGATGCGAGAAAGCAGTGAGTAGGACTTCCCTGGCAGAGGCTATATACGCGTGGCCGTGTTAGAGCATTTCGAGAGGGAGAGCGGACTCTCCCCACTCTCGGCCGTACCAGGGCATTTGGGGGCAAAGACTAACCTCTTGTAGAATCAAGATACATTTACAAGTGATTGATTCCTAACCAGTGTCATGTATCTCAAATCATTCTTAGGGCCAATTGAATTCTATTGATTAAGTTAAAATGTGGCTACTAGCCTTACTGAATTGACAATTTGTGCAAAATACGTTTAAGAATAGATGTTTGAAGACAATTAGTAAGAAACCTTATAGAGCTGGATTTTTTTTACTTTAGAATGTTTATCAGTCAAATTGGTCCAAAATTTGCAAAGAAGTTAGATTTCATTGGAAACTTGATGCTAACGATGATAATTACGGAAGCAGTATTGGCTGGTTTTTGAAATAATAACAGTTGGAGAACCACGTAAGTAAAGGTGATAATTATAAATCTATATGTGTATATAACACTTTATAACATGAGATTATTATCGAAACACTAAACAAAGCTTAAAAGATATTCTTTAACAAGCATTAAAAATCATTTCTTGGACGTTGGTATTAGAGACTATTTATTCAATCAAAATTTTTTAAAAAATTGAACTAATTCTGAGTCTATAGCCTAATGGTTGAACGAACGTTAGACGAATATACTATCGACTAAAAGTTTCTTAAGACTTGCTATTAATATGAATTAATGTGATAATTTTATGTGGAGATTTGTTTAATTTGTTAGAACAGATTAGATTTGATATAATACAAGGTTATCAGTGATTCCCTATTAACTAAAGCAAATTTGTGACGAATACTACTCATATATAAAAGGCATCTCCACAAAAACCTATATATATATATTGCATTAGAGTGTAAATTATATTTATGGAATGCTGAATCATACATAACTAGATGTTGATACAATAAACTGCACGCCAACTTAAAATACATGGCTTTCTACTTAATCTTGGATTAGTAAATGAATAACAAGGTGAGATCTTTATTGCTCGAGAAACTTACCAGTCAATGAGGAAACTCTGCACAGTTATAAAACAACTAACAATGAAAACTAGTAAAATAACAGCTTTGATCTGAGTAATAAACCCTCATATGCCAAATTATTCCTGATAGTAAGAGAAAAAGCTCACATTTACATATCAGAAGTCAAGACAGTATTCTGAGTTAGGGTCAACACCCCATGGAGTTATTATCAGCAAATGATATCTGTCATAATTTAAAAAGGTTAAGATAAAGTATTAAGAGTAGGGCTGCAGTTTCGAGTTGGATTTACAAATTAGGGTTGAGGTTTACATTACGATCTAGCTCCATTAAACACTCCTGACTACTCACTGAGTCACATTAACCACTTTTACACACTATTTGCCTTAGGAGCAGGTATGTTATGTCATTTAATGTAAAGAACCAACTTAAATTTATATTTTGCTTGAGTAATAGATATTTCTATTGATTCCGCGAATTTTAAGAATCAATTATTGTCAATTTTCATCTAGTTTACAACAACATACAACTTATCTATCACTCCACCTTAAATTCAGCGCACAGTTATCTTAATTCTGATTGGTCGACTCAAGGCCGTCAATATACTATACTTTTACCACATATGTCATTATACATGATATAATTACTCGGTAAATGTGGAGATTTCTTTCTCTTTTTTTTAATATACCTAGAAAGTTGAAAAACTCATATTCTAAGATATTTTCTAAATATATCACCTGACAACTAAATTATAAAATAGCGAAAGAAATCCATTACATCATTCATTAAAATGAAGAAGTTTTAACGATGAAAAATTATTTTATCGACAATGTTATCATTTGCCTAATAAGTTGTATGATCGTATTTACAGTTAATTTCATACATCTTATTGTCTATAATCAAATAAATGAATGTTGGTTGAGTCATTAAACAAAGTTAATTAACTGTTTTTTTTTTCAAGTATCAAATATAATAAGTAAAATAGTTGAGATCATGAGTCATTTGAAGCTCAGTGGTCTAGTGGTTAAGCATTCGTGCGCGAGACTGATAGGTTCAAATCTCGCCAGGCGGGATCATGGATACACATTTCTGAGGAGTCTCACAATAGGACGAAACGATCGTCCAGTGCTTCCAGGTTTTCCATGGTGGTCTAGCTCCAATTGACTCATGATCTCAACTATTAAAATTTACTATAACATCCACAAAAACCCCTTCTGATAATAAAAAATAAGGCATTATGAAATAAAGTAATGAAAACCTTTCATGTGATTGATTCCCACTGTTAATTTGAATAAAGCCTAAATAAAAATTGAGATAGAATGACATGAATTCATCATATATTTCATGCTTCGTCATCAGCTCCTTATATTCATATATGTATTAAAGTGTAACATTGAGGTAAGATATAATGTGAAACAATTGGTATTGATGATTGAAAGAATCAGAATAAAAAAGTTTATCAATAATAAATATAATTACATCTATGCATGAACAGGTTTGAGATCATTTGGAAATGGAATTCAATAAATCAGCATAGAGGAGGTTGTTGATATAAGTTTAGAGAATTGAGTGAGTGAAATAAAACAATGAATGAAAGGATGATTTAGCGTACAATAAAAATTATCCAAGTTTTTCCGGTTACGTAATAAGAAATAATAATTTATAAAAGAAATGTAAAAGGACAACTGTTAATTTTGATAAAGTAGAAGCTGGGGGATTCGCAAAATCAGAAAGGATGCTAAAATTATGGTAGAATTAAAGGTTAAACATGACAATGTCGTATATAGAGACCAGGTTTGAATTGATGAATCGAGATAGATTCATTTGGATACAAATTCCTGATTCAAACCTCCATTGAAACGGTCAGTTAATTTTTTTAAATAATCCTGAACGATGACCCTTACGAAAAAACACACATGAAACGTTGTTGTTCAACGCTTAGGAAATACAACTGTAGATGTTATATCGTACTATACTTCTATACAAAGAGGGCCCAGAACATAGTTGGATGGAGATCCCAGGTAGGCGGCCTATACCTTACAAGTAGTAACAGGTGTAAGTAATTAACTGCCATACAAAGACATCAAGTGAAAGAATAAAAACCAATCGGCCGAGATTTTGAAGATCTGACCAACTAATTTAATAAAAGTAAACGTGGAATTCACTGGGACATAAATAATCAAGAATGCAAAACCAATAAAGAAAATATACTTTATTCAGTAAATATGGAGAGTAAATATTAAAATATAACGGAATCCTTTAATTTTATCGATTTTTCACATCAAATTTTCAGTTTGAATCATGAACTGATCTTCGCTAAACAACCATTGAAAACTTGGAAGCAATGAACAGCTGTTGCGTCCTAATATAGGACTTCCCAGCAATGTGAATCCTCTACGTCTAGACTACTGAGCCAACAGCCAATGGTATATACTGTTGGCTTTGATCAATTGATTGATATTGAAAGATCATGTTCCATTTCCTGCAGTGCGTAACTGCCTTACACCCAACATGCTTGAACTCCATTGATCAAGGATTTTCACTAGAACTCCAGGACTTCCAACTTGAAGATGGTCACTAGTGAGCACTTGACTAACTAACGAAATCATGAATATGCATTGCTGAGTTTCATACTAAGAGGGAATAGCTATGCAGTCCTTTCTTTTTTTTCAACAGTCATCTAACTTAACATGGTACGTAAACTACAAAACAACTATATAAATCCAAGTACAACTACAATACTTTATAGATGATTATTGGCTTGTATTAATTAATTAATCCATATAGCATTATGAACTGTATGTTATAGTACATCAAACTAAGCGACATTCATTAACCATTGTGTAGTACATATTGACGACCAAATGATCTATTTATACAAGAAGTTATCATGATTATAAAAATAATAAGGAATATAGTAAACACAAAGAAATGTGCAAAGAAAACAATTTATCTTCTGTACTTACATCATAAAATAATTCATAATCAAATTTTGTATTTTGTTGTTTAATCGGAATAACTTCAAGTTCAATTCCATATTGTTTCATATCGGCCATCTTAGCAATTGCTCTACGCTATAATTAATGAACAATAATGAAGAAAAAAATGAAATTACTGAGGACCCAATGGGTAAAATGGCTTATTTTAAGCAAAAATGAATTCATATACTATGTTAGTTACAGATTAATCTTAATTACGGTGCTATGGATAAACAGAATTCATTGGACAACTGTTAAGTCTTCAAAGTTGTGCAGACGACCCAACCAGGAAATGAATCATAAGACCTTCAGGTTTTGCGATAAACTTTTAACAATTAGAATCGTTGGATCGGTGTCTATTGTGAAACATTTCCAGTAAAAAGCGAACATCGTACAATTTTTCAATGATGACAATGGTTTCATCCTAGACACATCTGAACTCCATTCAAACTTCACGGACATCGTGAAATAAGTCGATAATGGGCTGACTATCATAATTTAGTCGAACGGGTGGTTAGTGATTGGAAATGATACTCGAACTGAAATCAGCATGTGACAAATACAATCTACAAAACGGATCGAACGTCATAGAAGCCCTTCAATTATAAAAAGACTCAATAATTTTCCTAAGAAAAGGTAAACGCTTAGTCTCCTTAAAGAACATAAAGTTGATCTAAAAACAGTTGGAAATTTTCTGCTTAAAATGAAAAAGCATTCAGTTATATATTTATTCTACGAATAACACTGATTGGTGTAAGAACTGTTTCTATTAATCTCATCAATACAGGCTAAAAGTTCAAAAATGGATAGAGCCACTTGCCGAAACAAACACAAGTATCGATTCCAGGTTAGTTGGATTTATTCGTAAAAACAAGTTTAGTGTCCACATCTTTTGTAGTATGAAAATAAATCTTAAGATCCTTTTCAACTCGAATGAATTTCGGCTGTCATATCATTGAAAATCAGAGAAGTATCGGACAGCTCTTTCGTGGCGGAGTGATAAAATGAAAACTACGTTTGAAATGCAAAAACCTCAGTAATTAAATAATAGATATATATCCTCACTCGTGACAAACTTTAATATGGTTTGTGATCGAAATTGTCAGCTATGACGAAACATTATTATTTCGAGAGTTGAAAGGCGTAACTCATCAGTGATATCAAATGACGACTGTGATACACTAGAAATTAGGTTAGCTTGAAATTATAGACTGAGGGGTTTCTATTCAATGACTTAACACTACTGTAATCTTAAAAATACCAGAATATCATTAGTTTAAACCTGTCTGCCTACACTACCAGGACAAAGCTACTAACCAGCATCCCCTGTTTTCTAGTACTTTTGAACTGAAGTTAGGTGATTTAAAATCACACAAAATCTCTATCAACCCACCTCACTCAGCGTTTAAGGTTGTATACCAACCTCCGAAAAAAATTTAACACTTAACAATATCCCTGTAATTATAATACATTAAATGATTTATGGGTTTGAAGTATGTGGAACTAGTTCGCACAACTGAAACGTACTAAACTGATATTTACAAGCCTTTTCTAAGTATTAACAAATAGAAAAATAATAACTACACACAGTTGAATACACTCAGATTCAGAACATTTTGGGGAATCAATCTACAATTTTGATTGGAGTTATACAGTTGGCTATCTATTCAACAACGTAGAATAAGATGAAACCAATAATTAGGTTAGTAACTCTGAGACTTACAAATAACCAGTTTTAAAGAAGTTAGTCAACATGTTGGCAGAACTTTGCAATAAACTTAAAAGATTACTTTAATTTTGATCACAACTGATCGGTGGAACAAGATCGATTGATCAGTAAAGGAATAAAGCGATTAAGTGAAGTTCAGCACATATCACGAAACACTTTACAATTTCTTTTAAACAAGAAGTTCACGGAAAAAGATGGTTTTTACTTTCAGCTCATCAACAAATCTTAAGCCACTCAATCAATTATTTAGCTATAAGTGACGTAGAACGCGACACATATGTGCACCGGTTTGAGCTCCCATACCAAATAAGGACAACATAAAATTACTTCAAGACAAATCACAGAGTCATTACAGTGTCAGTAGTAGTAAAAAAGTTTAGATATAGAAAAAGAAGGTATAAGTAGATTTCAGGACTTATATTCTGAAGAAGGACAAGGAGTGAATACATCTAGACCATTGCGAATGATTCTGAGCCATGTCACACAGTCTTAAACAACTGGTTACGATAATCCCCTGACCCCAAACAGGTGGTTTACAGCTATCAACATGGCTCAATTAGATTATTAATAACTTCATAAACACGTTCCACTTCATGATTTAGCTGGTCCTATCTTTCTTTCAACCCACTCCTACACCAGAAAACATTTCCCGTCAATGTAGGTGTTATTGACTATGTTACGTTTCATATCTAATACCAAATAATAATTGCCAAAAACGATATTGGGATATTCAAAAGATATGAACAAAGCATGCCTAATGTAAACTCCGCTTATTACAAACCAATTTCTTTTATAGCATAAATAATGATTTGACAAATAACGGTGTTGGCAATTTAATAACCATGACTGAATAAAGCAAAAAATTACAAAAGGCGTATAACACTGACTTTCAAATTTGCATTTTTATTTACTGGATCAGGATCGTCAGTTAACAAAAAGATGTGTTTGATACCAAATGTCTTTGAACTAAAAAAAGATAAAATTGAATTAAGAAGGTTGCTATATATAATCACGTTATGACAGTCAGCATTAATTAGTGTAGGAGACTGGCACAAACAAACATCAGCTTAATTGCCGCAACATACACAAATACGGTAAGATGAAATTAGCAAGATGAACAAAAAAAGGAGTTCAGATAATAGTACAAAGGATGACAAAATGTAAGATTGAACATACGAAGAAATAGTATTGAGAGCTAAAATCTAGGGGAAGATAAATAATGAATAAACGGCCACCAGTCAATCAGTTCATGGGCTAATGCCATATCTTGTTTTAACAACTTTTAACTTTCTTTCAACGTATTTTTAGGCTAGTCAAAAGTGGATTTCAAAGTAGACGATAGTCGGGTACATATATGTGTTTCAGTTATCCTACACAATAAAGATTCACATCATAATCATTTGATTAATCATCTTTATCCAAACCATACACCTAACCTCGATCAAACTTCCGGCATACTGGTAAATAACCATAAAATTTTAATAACACTGACTCAAGGACTGCTAATCACTTCGTTTCCATAGAATAAAAGAGACTGACAGTTTCTACAAGATTGCAGATACAGTTTATTGAACACCAAACAGCCGGAAACCTAGGTCGAATGCTTCCTGTAAAATTGCTTTCAACAACATAGCATCGCCAAACAAACCACATCATGATAACAAATCACTAAACGTAGTGGCTATATTGTAATAAGATAGGTAGAATTGGATCAAAATGTGGTGGACATTGACAAAAGATATTTTAAAACTTAAATTGCTGATTGAATTCTCCAGAGGATAACTGCTCAAGATAGAATCCCAACAAACAGTGTACAGATAAATCAAGTGTTCTATTAAACAAAATTTAAATGTTAAATTAGTGTGGCATCTGAGTATTTAAAGATATCCGTGTTAGTTATATTAGCTTAATATTTTCACCTAAATGATAAAAGCAGCGGCTGCCAAAATGAACAATTAGACTAACTGATATAGTATAGATTGAGAAATAAAACTTCAAATAAATTCGCTGTCGTTCAAAATCTCAAATTCTCGTAGATACAAAGCAGTTATTATGTTATGATTTGACTGGTATATAATCCCTGTAGAATTAAATTAAGCACTCCGACTGGTCAGTAATGTATCAATCATGTTACACTATTGAACCGTTTGTACTGATCATAACCAGTCTATCATATGTTTAATGCAAACACTAGACTACATTAGTCATTATTGGGTAGAGTAAATACGGCAGAGTCTTAGAGATATAGGCAGTTATTTTAAAAAGATCGACCTATACAACCGAACTTTAATTCCATTGAAAAGTGAGCAATGTACAAAACTAACATACTTCAATGAAATATAGTTATGTTTATTTCTGCATCCGATATTGCTACTTTTACTGGAAGAAAAAAGTACTCAGGCAACCAGTTGTTTCGTCTTTGAACTGAGTCTATTTGGGAAAAACTTACGTTAATGACTAAATCTTGTAAAAAGCTATCAATTGTTAATAGAGTATCCGTGCATAACATTCACTGATCACCATTCTACTCATTAATTTAACAATCCAAAACGTGCATGACCATAATGTAGAAGCGCATTGATGAGGAGTCCCATACTGGGTTGGAACGGCTTTTCAGTGCTTCTAGGTTCTCAATCGTGGTCTAACTTAGATCGAATCAGGATTTCAATGAAATTCAACAATCTCCAGAACCCCTTACTGACAACGAAAAAATAATCTACGAAACTTACCAGGTGATAAATTGATTTTGACAAACCCACAATGCTTCGTGTAGAGGAAAAGTAATATTAGGTTGATTTACAATAGTACCATATCGTTTCTCCAATTCATCGGGTTTTAATTGTCTCAACTTTTCAATTTCTAATATACGTGTAGAATCAGCCAAACCTAAAGGCTAAATGAATTACATATATATATACATTACAGAACCAATTTAAAGTTAAACAAAAAGGAATATGGTCAATTTAGTTCAATTCATTATATGAATAAACTGTATATAATCGACGCAAATCCATGTTTTTCGACTTATCTCTGTGAAGGCTAGCGGCACTATCTGAGTGCTTGGACTGAAATATGTGGGGCGAAGCTCAAACTTGTGAAATAAAGTTTGAAAGTCGGATATCTTAACTATTAGGCACTCATTTTACCATAAGGATAGACAGGTATGTATTGCCTTTATACTTCTGAAGTTGAATATAACGTCAATCTCTGATGCAGACAACAATATAGTCAAATAAACGTAGGTTTCATTTGAACATCTTTTAGTGATAGATATTCAATAAGTATAACTGATCTTAAAATGCTTTGTAGTAGAACTGTCGAGTGTTCTGACAACATTATTGAAGTATTCACATTATATGGTACCAAGGTTTGTTAAGCCCAATACGTAAAACAGATCTTTATATTTTTTAAACAATGAAACAGATATGAAATTGATCAAACGATAATAGTGAGGCTTATCAACTGAAATAGTTATGCAATCTATATGAAATTCGTTTCGAATCTATACGTAGTCGTAATGAGTACACTGTTTTAAGCCTTCCTCATAGTTAAAGTCTGGAATCCTGAAGGAAGGCGGAAAAGAGGAAGGCCAAAGAACACATAAATAAAAGCAGATATGGAAAGGATGAATAGCAACTGGAAGGAGCTGGAAAGGATTGCCCAGGATAGGGTTGGATGGCGAAAGCTGGTGAGCAGCCTATGTTCCTTCACGAGGAGTAACAGGCGTAAGTAACTTAGTTAAAGTCTAGTGCCTAAAAACTCATCAAAAATAAGTTCTTTTTCTGAAATGATTGGTGACTCTCAAATGATACAGATGTCTTATCATACTACAAGGTATTGCGCAAGACATGTACTTAGAAAACAAACTGAATAGATTTAATTACCAAAATCGCCTGATGAAGTATGTAGAAAATAATCATAAGTTTCTATCTAACTTTATAAAGAAGTCTCACACCATACTGAACATCCTGGATCGAAATTTCCTAACAGTATACAGCTTCTATCTAGGACAACGTTCACGTTTGCTAGTAATTGATAAGATAGTTACCCAGAATTAGATAACGACAGAAACGAGATAATTGTAACTGGAAGTATAATGACCGAAATATGCCAACACAAGTGAATAAAGTTCTATCAGATTACAACATAATCACCAAGAAACTAGGGATGTGTAAGTTTATTAATGCAGAAAATATTTGTCATTTCGTAATGTTTTTTTCGCGCTCTTCAATATAACCATCACGATATAAATTTACTAATTCCACTTTTCCTTTGAAGCTTATTATATGACACCAATCCACCACCGACTTTCCAACCACTAATTTAGTTGACTGACACTAAAAGCCAATAAAAACTAACTTTGCATATATTACAGAATACATGTGATGCTTACCCAGTTAACTGAACCCCATGGAAAGTTCAAATATTCAATCTAATGACTTAATCTCTCATGTTATAACCAGTAAGCGCTTTAAATAAATGCTAATTTCAGTAGAATAATACTGAAGTTACGTAAATCCCGGCAATAACTTAAGCTAGAGAATGATGTTCTTTAGAAAGTACAAATCTAAAAAAACTGCCTGAATTAAGAAAAGTATTCAATATTCGAATGCGCAAGTATTGGTTTTTGCTAAGTCAAAAATTCAACTTAAATTGTAGATATTTTCAAACTATAACAAAAGATTATTAACACATAAAGAATGTGAGTTTTTTCGCAAATTTTCTGACATTTCACTCTTTTTTAACAAGTGAAAATACATTTGCACGATGTATATGACATCTGATACCTGGTGTATCTTTTGGCGTGTTTTAAATTATCCAGGACAAGGGTGATAACAATGTGTAAATGCAGTGTTACTATTTTCGGTATATATATGTAAGTATGAGTACTTTGATGTCTAATGTGATTTCTTTTTGATTCACGAATATCTTCCACAGAAATCCAACAAAAACTTTAGCTACTAAAAAAACCAGTTGATTTGTAAATACTCTAGTAGTTTGTGTTCAGTGGCAAGCTGGATTAATTTAATGTGCCAATGAAAGGCGGTACATTTTTAAGTAACATAGCATAATGGAACTTGAAGAACTCTGTATCACTGAGTTATGATACTCAGTTACATCATATTGTAGCTCTCAGTAGTTAATAATATTATCATAAAGTTGTCAAGCATCAATTATACTGTTCGATTGATAATGATGGCTGTATATACATTAAATGAAATGGAAATGTACTATTTATTCATCTAATTTAGTCCTTATAGAGATTTTAAAATAGTTTAAACCGGTTTTGAAGTATTACTTTATATCTTGATGATATGAAGTTTGTTTAATCAGTTAACCAATCATGAATACCATTGAAGTTGGAACACATGAATACTGGTCTTTATTATTATATTTCAACATTAACAGAGAAATGAGAAATTGGACAAAATGGTAATCGAAAAAGTTGAATCAATAAAAATTATAACCAATATACAAAAATAATAAACATGGTGAATATAGCCCGTAAAAGACAAAATTAAATTGACGAACAGAAATTATGAAAAGCATTATTGAAACTCAGGAATTAAGGTAAATAAGGAAGTGACTACATCAATATCATTATAACAGAATTGAAGAGATGTCATCTAAAAATACCAACTACAGATTATGAATACTGCGAACACATGAACTAACACGACTAATATCAGTGACCTCATGAAATGATGGAATTGTGTGGTCTGATACAATCAACCTTCTTACAACTTCATCTCATACGATACAAAGTTTTTATTAGACAGTAATTGCTTAATAAGAGCATTCAGAGTCAGATATTTTGTTAGTTCATATTTCACAGGATTCTAAGGATCTATCCAAATTTATTATTTATTTATTTTAACACATAGATATTGGTACAAGGAGGCACCAAATACATGTGCGCCACACAAATCTCATTCGATATGTGTGAGGGCTGTGATACTACCCGGGTGCCCAGACCGAAGCAGGTGGTTTTCTTAGGGGGCCAGACCTTGAGCCTTTGACCTAATGGTCTGATCCACAAGGCAGTGGAGCATCGTAAGGAGATGCAGTCCCATGGAAGCCGGTGACCAACAATTGGTTCATGCGCCATTTGTCCCGGCAGGATACTGGAGCCTATGTGCACCATTGGTTTTGAATCCGGTTAAAGCGCCGGACATTCGCTTTTCGTCCTCTCATTTTCGTAAACAACACCCGTGATGCGAGAAAGCAGTGAGTAGGACTTCCCTGGCAGAGGCTATATACGCGTGGTCATGTGAGAGCATTTCGAGAGGGAGAGCGGGATTCTCCCCACTCTCGGCCGTACCAGGGCATTTGGGGGCGATCTATCCAAAAGCCCAAAAACATTCATTATACTAATATACCTCACAAATTGTCACCTGATCAAATGTGACCACAATGTTGGATTGTTATGAAACATATCCAAGTTACTCATAACTAGTCCGAAATCGGTAACTACAATCGGAAACGATTTCGACAATTTATACTTCCATGTTTACTGGAACACCATTTTAACACAGAGAATGCAATGTATTGCTAATCCAAATGATTTAAACAACGAGGAGAGATATCGGTATAAGGTTGTGGAGAATAATGAATTTTATTGAAATCACGAATCAATGTAAGTTTGATAATAATTGGAAACCTAAAAGCAATCAACAGTCGTGTGGGATTCCCCATAACCGGGAATCAGGCCCAAGACCTACAGTATCCTGACATTTTATCAAGAAGTTGGCATGATGATAAAACAAACTGATTATGATCATGATCGAAAATATGAAAAATAAAAGATTATGGAGGGAGATGTAAACGACTGTCACCAATCCAAATTAGTATCATACTATTTAATTAATATGGAAAATTAGTTAAGGAGAACTTTTAACTAACCTGTAAAACCATAATATTCTTCATGTCAACAGATGACTCATTCTTTAAAAGAGAGATAAAAGACAATAATATATAATAAAAATACTTTCTTGCATATGATATTCCTTTCTAATATGAAACTCATCAGAAGTTCACATCAACGAATATAATAAGGATGAAAGCCAAGTATCATCAGAACCCATGACGAGTTCTTGAATTTTGGACTAACGCTTTAACATTCCAACTTCAGTCGATTTGCGCGTTTGCCTAACTATCATCCATTGCCATTGGTGATGTTCATCGTACATTCTACACTAATCATAGTTTCTCACTAAAACTCCTGGACTTAACACTTGAGGTTAATCACTAGTAAACACATGATGGTTGCTTTTATAGATAATTGCGGAAATTCTTAGATTTGAAGTTTTACATTACAAATTGAACCTAATTAAAAACCAGGAAGCACTGGACAGCTGTTTCATCCTGTTAAGGGACTCTGTAGCAGTACACAATCATGACTCCACACCAGTCATTGGAGCCAAGACCTTAAAATCTCGAGGTGAATACTTAATCGCTAAGACCATATAGTTTATATGCCGATTATTTATTTAAAATGATGAGATACTTCTTAAACATAAAATAAACTGACTATTTATCTAAAGAGGTATATTTAATTGAAATTTATATACATCAACATCAGTGGGTGATATGAAACAAAACAATTTCATTAAGGAGTGATGTCAGATGGTGAACTATTGAAAATTAAGAAGTACTTTAGATAAACCTTGTCATGTAAGAAGACAAACCAATGAAAAGAAAAAAAATAAAATATTTCGATTAAATAAGATAGTACAACTAAACGTAAGTAACAATAAGGCTTACTGTACGCATTAAAACAAGCCCGATCATATCAAAAGGACTATGAAGTGCTTTATTCTGTTGAAATGTTTGACAACATAACAGACTTAAATCAAATCCACTTTTTACTGATGATGAATCCACTGTATCACTACTATTTAAATCGAATGAACCATGTAATCCAAGCATTGTCGGCGTACAATCAATCAAAAATATTACACCAGAACGCATGTCTTGTAGCTAGATAAAAATAAAAAGGAGAACAATCTACAATTTAAAGTCTATACAGATAACAAACAGACTACTATTTAATGTTGTATGATTAGGGACCAAATGGTTAAAAACCAATCAATAATCCAAGTTTCTTAGCACCTAACAGGAAAGATGTATTCAGGGAATAACTTATTTCTTGGAAAAAAGCCTAGGTACTTAGCTTTCAGCTAAACTGTTCGCGTAAGTAATAATGATGTTATTAGCGCAAAACGGTTTGTAGAAATTGTTTAATTTCGTAGTTTACATCACGAGCTGGTTTAGTTGAACAACCATTGAGAACCAAGATTCATTGGACAGCTGTTTTGTCCTAGTATTGAATTTCCCAACATTAGTATTCATGGGCCCTATCAGGGACAGAATCCAGGACCTTTAACTCTCGCCATGAACACTGGCACGACAACCAACGACTAACATTTCTAAATTTGATCAGTTCACGGCGCTGTACAACCACCTTCCGAAGCAGCTAAGTAGTCCTATACTAGGACGAAGAAACTGTGCGGTGTTTCGTGGCTTTCAACAGTTGTCTAAGGTCAGTTCATGATGTAATCTAGAAAAATAGTGATAGAACCTGGGTGCTACTAAAAACATGAGTGAAACAGAATCCCAACCCTATTCCCTACCAATCGAAGGCCAAATACTTGAATCACTGAGCCACTATTTTACAAGAGGCATCTAAATCCGCAAAAGGGAAAATTAATTCACATGATGAATTTTTAACAAAACATTAGTACAACACTTTCTGTTGATAGTCTAATATGAGTTTCCAAATTTTGGGGCCTCATCTAGTTGTGCTGACATAATTAGAAACTCATTATCAAAGTAAAGTCACCGCTGTAGATTTGATAACATGGAACTCATTAATTTATTGGAAGGTCGGGGATAGTCAACGGAAAACCCTGGACATAGATTTCGTCCTAGATGACACGCCACAGCCACGGGTACCTGTAATCTTTATAGGACTGATTCCTTCACAAGTCAACTGAGGCTAGTTAATCTAGATATGGATTCTAACATTTACAAGCGACAATATGTTATATAGCCGTTCAACAAGTGATATCTATCGTAATTCTTTAGCTGAGTGGGTACAGTTGGAAATCTGATCAATGTTAGGTTTGAGTTTTGACAAGAACATCCTACACCAGGATTCAAATACATTGGCCCCGATTGCTCTGGTACGACTGGGAGTGGGGTGAGTCAGCTCTCACTCTCCAAATGCTCTCACATGGCCACGTGCATACAACCACTGCAACAGAAGTCCTACTCACTGCCTTCTTGATGCTTTACTGTTGTTTACGAAATTAAGAGGACGAAAAGTGAATGTCCGGAGCTTTAAAGGGGTTGGTGGGTATGGAGGATCCACATAGGGGAGTCGGAAAATCCTGATTCCAAACCAATGATGCACATGGGTTCCAGGATCCTGAAGAAACAAATGGCGTATGAACCAATTATTGATCACCGGCTACCATGGGACCACATCACCTAAAGTTGCCCCACTGCCTTGTAGATTAGACCTTCAGGTCAAAGGCTCTGGGTGTGACCCTTAAGAAAACCACGTGCTTCGGTTTAGGCACCCGGGTAGTATCTCAGTCGTCACACAAATCATTTGATTTATGTGGCGCATATGTATTTGGTGCCTCCTTGTACCAATGTTTATGTGTTTAAATAATAAATAATAATGTAAATGCATTCATATATCAGGCCGCAAATAGAACAATGTTCTTGTCCTGAATATCACTCTGTTAGCTACTTCCCAAAATACCATACCTGTCCATTTAAACTGACTCTTTTAATCATAAGTCATACCTTATAATAGATTATGATGAATCAATATTCAAGAATCTTGAACCAAGTACCCTATGGTGGAATTTACAAACATTTCTTCATTTAAATATTATTTTATTTAATGTTCCTCAAATATATGAACAAGTATAAGGAAATAATAAAAATATATTTATATCTCACAGGTTTACTATTCTGTTCTTGTTCATTATCTTCACTGTCCAGAAACTCTCCAAAATAATTGTCAATACTGTTCATATTAATACTAAAATAATACAATCAGGATTTTAAGAATTTTATATAAGGTGATGAGTTCATTTATATCAAAAAAAAGCGGAAAAAATATGATTGTGGCTACCAACAGAATTCAAGAGGCGCATTTATAATAATTTGTGACTTAACAACTGAATCTATTCATATAGAGTATTAAACACACCAACTCATTCTTCAGCAGGTGATAAGTCGAGACAGGTGAACGTAAAGATAGATTGTTAAGAAATAAGTGGCTAAGATATAAATCAGTAATTAAGATTGTTGGTCGAAGTAGGAATTTTTATACTTTATACCTTGATTTACACTGCTATGACATTAGAATAATCTTAGTGCACAATTTATTCTGCCGTGACTATAAAATATTCTTTATTGTAATTTCACATCAATTAGAAATGTTAAAGATTCCCATTGTGAAAATTAGAACAACACATATAAGCGCTTATATGTGTTGTTCTAATTAGAAATGTATGTGAAGAATCATATTTCTCGCTATGCAATGATACTTAGTAATCACAGGTCACGTACTATCGTCTAAAGTTTCCAGGACTCGGAATAATGAACTAGGTCATGTCAATGACTTAATCATCATTGTTGTCTAGATTGAGATATTTTGCGGACCGTAAAGTGAGAGTGATAATTTTCGCAGATTCTAGATGTATAGCATTTTGACATTGTCTTCTGAACCTTTTAAAATACATTTTCAAATCCTCTCGTTCTACGCACTGTGTTATGGTTTTCAACAGAGAATATTAAACTACTTTTTTACTTTCTACCGTATAACACGATAGAAAAGCTCCTCTAAATGTATGAACTAAATGAGTGGATGTGATTGACATTAAACCTCGGATCTAAATATCATGCTAGCTGACGCTCATCATTAAAATATATGAACAGTCTTCGGGAAAATGCACTTCCCTATGTTATTCAAACCAATTTGGCCGCAGCTGCTGAGTTGACTTGAAGGTCGACCTTGCGTATAGTAATGATCCAACCGAGCAGTGTTGGGTAGAAAATTGGTTGCTTTAGACTCAACCATTCTAAGCAGGTCGTTTGAGGAACGGAAAGACTAAATACAAGAAAGTAATGATCCGAGAACGGAATTGTACTGTTGACTGTACAGAGGTGTAACGCCTAAAAACTAGCATCTGCAGCGGTGCTACTTTTCCACAACGAAAGGGGGGTAAAGGCTGTCGACTCTGAAAGGACCACAACTCAACTTTATCCCACAGATTCCTGTCACCGATGGCAATGCCTCTAAAGTATGAAGCCATCTCATCTAAAAATAATTACTAAAAAGTCCTAAGTAGTCATCTCTTGGGTTCTGCAGTCCCAGTCTTAGATTGCTAGGACCACTACTAATCCAGTTTACTTTGCAGGGAACCCAAGAACTGTCCTTCTATGGCGTGGGTGACCAGGAAGTGATAACCGCCTACGGGCTACTAATAACACTAGAGATCATCTCACTCAAGATTCAAACCCATTAACATCCAGCACTAAAGTACATCACCACTAAGTTATTCAAGATACATACGTGTGCACAGATGTATACAAAAATAATTTTAAAAATGTACATTCACAAAAAACGAAATAACATGAAGTTAATTATTTACTTATTTATTTCGAAGTGAAGAAAATGAACAGAAAAGAGAACACAGAATTATGCTTTTTCACAAGTTTTATAAGTGTTTTAAAAACCAATTTACGCAATTCACAAAAACATCTAATGAACATGCTGGTGAATCCAACGGATGTGAATCATATGGATAGAGCAATGTTTCACATGGTACAGTTGGACATAAGGCTTTCAACTTTCGACAGAATGTTAATCCCTAAAAGTAAAAAAAAACAAGTAAATAATGAGACAGAAAATATCATTGTGATAAAGATGTATCGAGTGATGACAATTTACACTAAAATAGATAACTATTAAACAATCACTTTTTAGTATAAGGGGATTTGTAGAGATTATAAAACTTCAATAGGTTAAATCACGAACTAATTCAAATTAGACAACTGGAAATCCGGAAGCGCTGAACGCCCGTTTCGTTCTAGCACGAGACTTCTCGTTAGTGCCTGTTCACGACCGCATTTGAAGGACTCAAACCTAGGACCTTTAAACTCGAGCGCGAACGCTTAACATACAGACCACTGATCGTGCATCCAATGGTGCTAATATCTAACCTGAATCAGCCCATAAAAATGCGCGACCATCTTCCATTGTCTCCAGTGGGTAACTGCCTCATAATCGATATGGTTGGACTTCACTGGTCAAAGCTTCTCACTAAAGCTCCAGGAGTCGTATCTTGCATTTATTCACTAGTGAACAAATAATCATCAATAATATAGGGGGATTTGTGGAAACTGTAGGATTTTTAAAGTTCCAATCACGAAATCATCTTAGCTAGATCAACATTGAAAGCCTGGAAGCACTGGGTTTTGGATGCTTCGTAAATATTATAACTTGCAATTTAAAACTACTAACCTGACTATTTGGTACACGACGATCTTTCCCACCTAACAGCATTAACAAAGGTACAGACCATGTTTTATCTAAATATTTCAAAGGAGATTGATTTGACAAACGCATTAATTCATTGCCATTCGGTAAATGACCAAGTGGCCATTCACACCAATCTGCTAAACCTGATTCAGTATAACACCAATCCGGTATATCAGATGTATCAATAAGACTGACTAAATGAGCCACTGGATTACGAGCTGTAGCTACATGATATAAATTTTTATATCGTGAGGCTAAATGTAATGTTAAGAACCCTCCATGTGAACCACCAAATAAAACTGCTTTCAAGTTGGACCCAAATTTCTGCAAATAATTCAATGCAAATTTAGTAGCCTAAAAAGAGGGATGCGAGAAAAGAGAAGAGGGGATATGAAGTAAAAAAATGAAAAGACTACACTACAAGAACGGTGAATAGATTATTTTAACATTACAATTGATCAATAAAATAATGAATCAACTGATAATAGGCTGAACAGAATAAACAGATAAAGTCGCTCAGAACCAAAACAGAAAAGTGGAAACGAAATCAATGAATATCAAAAGATAATACAACTTAGTTGATTGACTTCTGGTTAAATTCTCGTTAATTGCATGAAAATATCATTCATATTTCATACAAAATAAAAAGACTATAGGTGATCTACTAGATCATAAGTAAGAATGAAATTCACCAGGACAACAAGAAAAGCTTATACTGTTGACTATTTATTACACAAGATAAATTAAAACAGGAACAACTTGTGAGATTTGTGTAATATAACTGTGTTACTCATAAGTAACTATATTTTCAACATACAATTTTTTGCCTGAATTTCATTGGTTAATTGCAAACTGTTCTCTGATTGCTCGATACATTTTTTATGTCCAGACAAAAAACTGAACATCTGTGCACAGAGTGAAAAGATATTGTTGCTGATTTTGGTGGAGTTCTACTCTCTGAGCTGGAAACTCTACCAAAATCATCCACCTGAGCTACGAATCTCCACCATCCCAATTATTGCTGAGGTTGCCACCTTGCAGGCGAGTTTTCTTCAACATAAGCTAACTATTATTATAGTATTATTATGATCTCATAGTATTATAGAAAACATTACTATTTATTGTTAATAAATAGGCATTTATGTAGAGATAGGTATATGTAAGTAGGTATGTATATAGGTGCAAAAGTAGAATGAGAAAAAGTAATTAAGGACATACAATATGAATGCTGCTTATTTATCGCAATAATTAATCAGTGATATAACGGGATAAAAATATAAATTATTGAGGCCAATATATTTTGGGCCAATTCGTTGTGAATTTCGACCACAGTGACAGGCATGAGCTTCATTCAGTTGTGACGCTTTAAGGTCAATATCTTCTTCGTTCAATATAATAAGTGTGAACAAATTTATTCCCTGTATCAGCTCTTAATTACTTACTTACTTACGCCTGCTACCCCTCGAGAAGCATAGGCCGCCCATCAGCATTCTCTATCCTACTATGTCCTGGTTAAGCCTTTCCAGTTTTTCCTGATAGCTATCCATCCTTTCGATGTCTGGCTCCAATTCCCGATGCAATGAGCTCTATAGTCTGCCTATTACCTTTTGCATTCAGGATTCAGTCATGGCTTGGCTCGTGATGCAGTTTAACAATTTCCTCAATGTGTGTCCAATCCACTTCCAACGATTTTACCTAATTTCCTTTTCACATAGAAGGTGGTTTATTCTCTCTCACAGTAGGCTGTTACTAATGGCATCCGATCAACGGACATTGAGTATTTTGCATAGACAATTGTTTAGAAATACTTGTGACTTTTCGATCATGGTTGTGGTAGTTTTCTACTACGTTAACTTCGTACAGTAGAACTGTTTTGACGTTAGTATTGAAGATTGTGACTTTGATCGATAGTTGTTTTGGGTTCCGTGTGTTCTTCAACTGTAGGATGCTGTTCTTGCTTTGCCAATCCTCGCCTTTGCGTCTGCATCAGATCCTCCACATTCATCGATGATGCTACCCAGATAAATGAAAATTTCTACCTCTTCCAAAGCTTCTCCATCAAGTGTGATTGAGTTGGTGTTCTCTGTGTTGTATTTGAGGATCTTGCTTTTTCCCTTGCCCATGTTGAGGCCTTCGATCGTTGGTGGAGTGACAACCATTGGAAGGTCTGTGGATGCCGCTTCGATGGCCAGTAAATTCAGTGAAGCTGATCTAGTCAAGAGTTCCTCAAAATGTTATACCCATCTTTTCTTCCATCCTCAAATCTCAGTGATTGAATGGCCTTCTTGGTCCTTCACCGATCTCTCTGATTTACTACATTTCTTTTCCAGTTTCTTCGTTGTGTCATGTAGTTGTTTGTTATTCCCTTCTCTCGTAGCTTTTTTCGCTGTCGTTGCTACCTCTTCCACGTATTTCTGCTTGCCAGCTATAATACTCCTATACGCTCTCTTATTTGTTTATGTGTATTCGGTCTGTGCCTTGACTT